TACTAACTAATTTCATCTAACGATAATTTATTAATTTGTGTACCATTGGACTTAGAAATCCAGGATAGGAATACGAGTGAAATAGTAAATAGATACAATCATAAAGAACATTTTAAAGGTGAGTTAAAACTTCATGAAATTTACTGTTTTGTTGAAAAAGGAAAACATACTTACTATATAGTGACTAAACAAAATTATTGGGACAAATTGTCATACGAGGATCTTTTCGATTTAATTGTGAAACTGCAAGAAAGATTAGTCTGTGATCAAATAATCTCTATTTCTATTCCAAGGTTAGGACAAAATTTCGACAGATTAAAATGGGACAAGGTTCGATCTATGATTAGATTTATTTTTAAGGGTACGAATATTCACATAACTGTTTGCCACGGAATGCTAATCACTCCTACAGATGACGAAATTTTGCAAATATTAAACGAATACCATTCAAGTCCTATTTCAGGTCATTCAGGTTTTCATAAAACTTATACCAGAATAAAACTAACATATAAATGGAAAAACATGAAAAAAGACATACGCAGATTTATTAAAAATTGCTCTTCATGTCAACAAAATAAGTTGGTCAGGAAAAAGAATATTCTACCAATGGAAATTACGTCAACCTCATCTACACCTTTCGAAAGAGTTTCATTAGATATTGTAGGTCCATTTCCATTATCTGAATCAGGAAATAAGTATATATTAACGTTACAATACGATCTTTCTAAGTTTTCCCAAGCCTATTCAATCCCTAATCACGAATCAATCACCATAGCAAAACAGTTCGTACATCAATTTATATGCAAATTTGGGATACCAAAGTCTATTCTTACCGATCTAGGTCGAGACTTCACTTCTAATCTATTAAAAATCGTCGCAAAATTATTTAAATTTAAACAAATAAATACTACAGCATATCACCCACAAACCAATGGCGCATTGGAGCGTAGTCATGCTACTCTTGCGGACTATCTTAAACATTACATAGATGAAAATCAATCTGACTGGGATAATTTGATCGATTTTGCTATGTTTTCATACAATACAACGGTTCATTGCTCAACAAAATATACCCCATATGAACTTGTTTTTGGGAAAAAGCCGGAATTACCTTTTAGTTTAACCAAACCTCCAGATTTCAAGTATACTTATGACGATTATCTTGATGAATTGACTCTAAAACTCCAAAAGTCACATCAAATCGCAAAAGAAAATTTGATTCATTCAAAACAAGTAAATAAAAGGTATTATGATAAAAATTGTTCTAATCCTAATTTTAAGATAGGTGATAAGGTTTATTTGCTCAACGAACATGTGAAGCCTGGAAAGACAAAAAAAAACTAACACCTCATTACTCCGGTCCTTATTCTATTATAGAAATTAATTTTACACTATTAATTAAGAATAAAAAAGTTAAAGTCCATGCTAATCGAATGAAACATGCGTTTATTTCAGATTCATAAATTATACCACCGGTAATCTAAAATACAATATTACTACCATAACAAAATCAGCAGGATTGTATTACGAAAATTTAGGACATTCTCACTTGCAACACGGTATGTTAGTTCTTTTGAAGAGAAAACTCATCTGTTAGAAAACTCCTACCTAAAAACAAGGCACCTTTGTGAAGAAGTTCCTTCAGATTTCTTTCTTTTTAATACGTCTTTAAGAATCTTGGATCAGACAATCCCTGCTTTAAAAAGTAAACATCAATCGTTAACAACTTTAATTAGTCAGAAAAGGGTTAGGAGGGGATGGTTCAATGCGGCAGGTACAGTTTTTAAGACTGTCTTTGACACACTTGATGAAAATGATGCAACTTACTTCAGTAACGCAATTAACAATGTAAATAAGGGTGAAAGACAATTAGCCAAATTGTTAAAAGAACAAACCCATGTAGTTAAGACAACAATCATAAATTTTAACAATACCATTACAAATTTGGACAGAAATTTTAATATTTTTAATAAAAATATAGAAAGTTTAAAGGTATATGTAAACTCTACAAATAAGATTTTATTTAATTTAGAATTTAAACAAAAATTAGAGGAACACTTAGCCATTTTAACATTAATATCAAACGAGTTACGAAGCGAATTTGATAATCTCATAGATGCTTTACTTTTCGCCAGATCAAATTCCTTACATCCAATCGTGATTACACCTCAACAGCTTATTAACGAACTTAATAAAGCTCTAATTCATGTACCACCTACAACAAAATTTCCTGTCGAAGTTGATCTTCAACATGTTTATGAATTGTTGAATTTAGTGCGGATAAGAACTCATTATACCGATGAAAAAGTAATTTTTGTAATTTCGATTTCTTTGATTTCCGACTTAAAATTTTATTTATTCAAACTGATTTCTTTACCTCGTCACAAAAATGACAACCAATTTATTTTTATATTCCCATCTAACAATTATTTACTAATTTCAGAAAATAAATTTCATTATATACTATTTGATTCTCTAAATGAATGTAAAAACTTCAAACCTAATCAGTACATTTGCTCAACAAATAAACCTCTAAAGTCAGTCCACATGACGCCAGCATGTGAAACGGAGCTTTTAATTAGCGACGAAATCATTCCCAAAAGTTGTGACATTAGAATTGTTAATTTAGGAAAAGAAATTTGGCATGAATTAAGTCAACCTAATAGATGGATATATGTTTTGCCAAGAGTCATTGATACCACTTTGAGTTGCAGAAATTTGTCACCCATGGATTTAAAACTGTCACATACAGGTTTAATCTCAATAGTCAGTGACTGTAAAATATTTACTAGTTCGACTATTGTATCATCTAATGCAAATACTTTTGAAAGTTCTTATTATTCTTTTGTTCCATCACTCGATATCATGGAAGATAGTTGTTGTAATTCTCAAGGTAAATCAAAGTTAAATATAACTAATATTAATGAAATACCTCTTGCTATTTCGAATTTAGATCGCGAAAGTCTAAATGTAGCTAGCCATAAACTTGACCACATACAAAGTGTTGCTGACGAACTATCAAACGATAACAGTTTTGATCTTAATTCTTTTCCTAATTCATACGTTTCTTCTATTATATATTCCTTTTTACAAGTAATAGGTCTAGTTGTATTATATAAGTTGTACAAAAGATTAAGACGTAATTGTAACAGGAACCAAAGAAATGCATGTGTAGAATTAAGTAATTGTCTTACTTTCAATTTATGCAAAACAAAAAAGGAACATAATAGGAACGCTGTCTCGACAGAATTGACCGACATGTCTAACGAGGCATCTACAAGTTCATTAAGGCGCAGTGAAAGAATCGCCAAATTGAAACAATAATGTGTTATTGTTCAATTTCTTTTAGCGGGGAGGTGTAATGTACCTACCTGTATAATAAAACATAATCATAATGTATTTTAGTATTCAATAACAGATTGTATATTGTAATATTCAATTTTATTTCAAAACGTATTGTCTTTAGATAATTGTCTATTTTATTTAATTTACTAAGAAATATGTGGACACTGTAATAATGTTCAAATAATAGCTTCCGCTGGAATTGTAAACAATTACAGTTTATCTCAACAGTTATATTAATTGATATTGTCNCAATATAAAAATATATTAAGTAAGTGAGATATAATATATTTAAGAATGTTTATGTCATGGTTGATAAAAACACATATAAACGACCTTGCTTACGCTATTTAAAAACGACTTCCTATGACTTACGATAGTATATATCAGTCTCAAAGTGAAAATCTCTAAATCGTCTTTTGATCAGTTTTCGTCAATCTTTTGTTAGTTATAAGTGTTGTTTAATAAATAAGAAAACTACCAACGACTTTTATTTCCCGTGAGGTTCATTACACAGAACTATTGTGGCTGAAATAGTCGTTTTTAAAAGCAGTTGATGACAGTCAAATATGTGAGATGGCCCGTTCACCCCTCATAAGTGCCCACCCTTGGCGCCCCTGTGCTGATTCGGTGTGGTCCGTATCTGCAAACAATCCGAGGCACTTGACTTTCTAAGAACTAATAACCATGAAATGCTCACATATATATATGGTGCGCTGTTGAGTTTTAATGTTTTTAATATACTTTCTCTTGATAACTTTATATAACAATAACGTGCAGATGGAAAATAAAATGATTATAGATAATTAAAATGATCAATTCAAACACTTAGTATTTTATTTTAGAATTCGAAAGTTAACAACTGTATTATGATAAAACAAACCTTTTCTATTTCTAATGAGTTTTTCATAGGTATTTTGGTTCTAAATTAGAAAGTTTAATAACTTTATTGAAGTAAACAAAGCTGATGAGCAAAAATTAAATGCTGAATCTAAAATTTATATGTGGAAACACTCGGATATCAATAAACAATTTAATGGTGTACCATGAAATAAATTTTGTGTAAATAGCATTAAACATTTCAATAAATGAGCCTAACACAAGGCTCACTCTTCATTGGATGCTGCAATAGTGTCAAATTCATCATAGATGCTGAAATGTGTCCAATGTTGTTATAAAACCGGTTTTTTTCAGAACCACAATTTTTGGTAGGCATTAAATGACTACATATATATCACTTTTCAATTCAAAATACCTATTGATAAGTTACGGCTTCCTTCTCTCTAAAGTTTTCAACAAGCTGGCATAGAAATTGACGCAACAATAACTCTTTTAAATGAATATTTTATGAACATCCAGAGGGATGTAAGGTAATTTATTTAATATTTCGTTTATCCTTAAGAAATAAAATTTGTTTAATTTGATGTACTTTAAAAAGAACAGTAGCTTCAACATGNAAGAACAGTAGAATTGTAAGGCATTGAGTGCGCGTGATAGCGCCCATAACGATTTTCTGGTTACTTTAAAAATTAGCATTTGATTAAAAATAAAAATTAAAAAAAAAAGGTGTTCTTTTTAAAAAACAAAGTCAATATTAACATTAATACACTATGTAGGTATTTGTAAAAAATAAATTCCAATAGATGATAACAGATAAGTAATGTTTATAGATACATGTATTTGAAGTATTTCTATTTACATTTTACTGTTTATAAATACAATATACAAACAAACTTATGACATTATCCAAAAGATATTTGCTTCTATATACACAAATCAGTCAACTATTCCTCTAGTTCTAAGTATACCATTTACATGATGAGATATACTATTATAATACTTTAATTGCACTATATACCTTTTAGCCTCTTCAATATCATTATTCTTAAAACATATGGATATTTTTTTACAAATCTCAGATATAACTCTTTTGTTTTGTTCATTTAGCATCTTTAATTGTTCTGGATTTTCTGCATTTTCAATCTGAATTTAATAATCTTATACATTACAAGACAATCTACAAAGATTTACACATACCTACCTCTTCATTTATTTCCATAATCTTCATTAAAAATTCGGTATCTACTACTTTTTGATCTTCATCAATTTTTTCTCCTTTTAACTGAAGTATATGTAAAGCTCTATTAAGAGGTAATTGTAATGTATTATAAGCTCTGTTAATAAGTGATGAATATTCTTGTGAAATATTTTTTTCCTCTGAACTCCTGAAACATATTATTTTAACAAGAACATACATAAAACAATTAATGATATCCACCTTACTTATTGCTAAATTTATCTGGATGAATGATATTCTGCAATCTACGATAACTGTTGGTTAACAGTTTTGTGTCAATATCAAAAGACTCCTTAATGTCAAACAATTGAAAAAAGTTTTTGGTGTCATGAGGTTCCTGAATAAAATTACATTTTGAACAAAACACTTCTTTTATGGCTTCCTTTTCAACACCACATTTCCAACATTTTAACATCTTTGCATGACTGAAACGCAACAAACTGAAAGCACCATGGGTACTAACACTGAGCGATGAATAAGAATTATTTGCATGCTTTGTCAGTAAAAACAGCTGTCTTCTTTCTAGGTAAAATTGATATTGACAAATAACACCTTTTGCAGATTGAGAAAAAAGAATGTCCATATTTTTTAAGCAAAACTTCAACATACTTGTAGTAAACTCAACTTCAAACTAATAAAACGGACTCGCCTATTAACCCATAGTCAATATAAAAATATATTAAGTAAGTGAGATATAATATATTTAAGAATGTTTATGTCATGGTTGATAAAAACACATATAAACGACCTTGCTTACGCTATTTAAAAACGACTTCCTATGACTTACGATAGTATATATATCTCTAATCTATGGCCTATGATGAATGACAGTAGATAATGAAGAAGTAGCATAGATTAAATAGATAGTCACATGGTAGTCACCATATAGTCGCTAACATGTGAATGTTGAATGAAATAATCATTGCTAGTCATTTGCTAGAATATAACTAAAAGTTAAATCGATAGTGAAATTATATTGAAATGATAACAAAATGGAAGAAAAGTCTATCAATAACAAAAGAGAGGGTAATTTTTTACATTAGTTGACATTGAAATTAGACATGAAGTTTAGTGAGGTAGGTAGTACTCACCAAGTAAAGTAGTGTAGTAGTATTTACTAGAATTTTGTTTATTATTTGTTTAAAAATCAATGTGACTGAGATACAGGCTCTTAACGTTTTCATAATTGGAGGAAAATCCGGTAGGTACGGCCCTGGCTTCAGCCTTCCGTCTGCTGTTCCCGCCAAACATCGTTTGTCCTAAAACATTAAAGGGGCATTAAAGATACTCCAGTCTATCATAAATCTACCTAACTAAACAATGACGTCATCAATGCATATTTGGCGAGAACAGCTGACGAAGGGCTGCAGCCAGGGCCGTACTAACCGGAATTTCCTCCAATTAAGAAAACTTTAGGAGCCTGTATCTCAAGTTACATTGCATGCAATTAATACTACCATACGATTCTACTTGGTGAGTACTACCTACCTGACTAAACTGCATGTCAATTCCAATGTCAACTAATCTAAAAAATTACCAAAGAAAGTTTTATTTACTAATTGGATTGAATATTGCAAAATGGTAACAAATAATTATAAACAAGCATTCGAATTTGCGAACCACAACGATCAGGAAGACAGTTTAATCTATGGACCTATAGCCATTCTATGGCTGTTAGACTGTATATCTAAGACCATTGAGTTATGAGAAGTTAGCAAATATCTATTTATTTTTTACATTTTATCAATCTAATTCAATTGTTGAATTTTATTTTGTAAAATATTTTTTTATATATATAACATTGTTTTTTTATATATTCATTGTTTACGATTTTTAGTCTAATATCTTCTTAATATTCTTTTCGTTCAATAAAGTCTTTATCTCTACATTCTATATATTGGTTGGAAAGGCTGATGGTTTCGAATGAATGAGGTTATTTGTTTATTGGTTGAGTAGACCCATAGGTAATACATAATCAGACTGTAAACAGATAATCTGAGAATAAGAAATATGTAGGCAGTCTGTGTTGGTTTCGCCCCGTGAGCGAACGAAGTGTGTGTATCGAGATTGATACAGAAATATAATTAAAAATAGCATGCTTTCACCCCTGGTGCACTGTTGCCCGGCCAAAATAGCCGTGGTTCCTTCGAGTGGGGTTACTCGCAATTAGGGGTGTTGCGGGCTACTCGAATGACATGATTCTGGTGGCGAGGGTAGCTTCATGTAAGTACCCCACACCCGTTCATTGAGATGCTAGTCCCTAAAGGGGGCTGGGCGTCTAGGGAAGCCTTACTTATTTTAGGGTGACTCTAGCTAGTTGTCGAAGAATAGGAATACGTATAAACAAAACTGGTAATATATTGGATACGTGTACAATCTTATGGTCCAACTGAACTAGGGGGAAGGCAACCCCCGGTGAGTACATTAATGTTTATTTATTGGTTGTCAGTAACTGTTAGTTTATTTTGGGTCTACCGGAGTATCTGTTTGACCATCCTAAGTGCAGTCAGGATCTGTTTGGGGAAAAGAATCCATGTTATTAGGTGAGACGAATTACACCTGATCACTACTATTTATTGTTTCTTATGTATTATGTATTTATCAACGCCCTGTAAAAATTATCCAGTTAACAATTTGTTGTTGATTATTAGTTTTCTAACCTCTTGAATGCGTCACTGGATCGGATACCTATCACTGTCAAACGATAAGCCAGAAGTCTTGTTTAAGTCTGACAGAGGTTTGGCGCCGAAAGGGAATGATAAATGGTAGACGAGTTGGTTAGAGGGGCCGAAAAGACACACTCGTGCATAGATGGTAGTTAGATACTGTTGTGTTTTTATATTTTCAAGTTCATTCTATAATTCATTCATTCTATCCCATCGACGTTTACTAATGGACATGCCTTAGAGGTCAAAATTGTGGTACAACAAAAGAAAGATGGAACGAAGTTTCGGACAATATCCATCTCTCTCACTATAGTGCGCAAGCGTGTCATGAAAGAGATAGCACTAGTCCGAAACCATACGCTATCCAGTCGCTTTTCGGGCCAAGAAATTATTACAACGACATACAGCTAAGGCACGTCCATTATTATATGTCTATGGATCGGTTTGCGAGTTTCGATGATTTAGGTAGCCGGGATGGACCTGTAGTAACCGTTTATTCTTTTAACGTTTAAACATTGTATGAGACAATCGATATGCAGTTTTATAAAGTAATTCAGTAATACAACATCAATTATGAGTGTAGGTCAGTCAATGCAGACCAGTTGTTAGAATAATGGGACATGATCCGTATTTACGGGTTTGAATCATATCGACGCTGTAGGGACAATTTCAAATAAGAAGATAATCCCCATGACAATACACGTGAAATAGCAGGGAACATTGGCTCCTCTCGTGTGACAGTGCGCCTAATTTTAAAGCGACCAGTTGCTGCATCTTTATCAGCTGCAGTCAGTGCAAGCCTTGCTCGAAACTGATTTTCAGCGGCAAATTTATTTGTGTCGGTGGTTTCGAAAGGAAATTGCTGCATAGTGTATTTTTTTTATAGGATTGTAAGAATAACGAGAAGGTATCCCGGTTCGGACCCCATTGTTATGCTAAGGCGTGACATTGGAGAACCAAGAAACCATCAACATACAGTCAAAAAAGGAAAACAAACTCTCAAAAAGAAAAAAAAATTATAGGACAGAACGATTGCGCTTGTGAAATTGTATGCACGTGAATATAATACAATATATTTATTCCACCGTTAATTAATAAAACTGTGAAAGTTATAAATAACTAGTATTAGTTTTTTTTTTTGAAAAGTGGTTGACGCTTTTAGGATGTTGTATACAGACAAATTTGCTTCACGTGGGATGGAATTTTGATTTTTTACAAAAAGAACTCGCTGTGTGTTTGTGCATTGCATCTAGTTTACACCCTCCAAAGCTCGTTATTTATTTTTGTTACACCGTGTATTATTAAGAGTTAACATAGTTTACGGTTCAGATGCGGGGTGTACTTACGAGAACTTGCCACTACCTGTGCTTTAGTTTAGTTTAGTTACGTTAATGTAAAAAAAGGGAAATAATTGACAAGCAAAACGTCGTTATCGTCCTTGTAGCTCCAACTCATTGAACAGTGATTCCTCAAGCTCTACGGACAATAGTTGCAGACGTACGCGATCTGAACGGAATTATACTCCACAGAGATGAGACAATAGGCCACTCGTTAAGGAAAGTGTTGGTACACGCAAGCGACAGTTACGTAAGTCGCGATAAAAAATATTACCAAGCACATCTCCCAGTTTGAGTTAGTTATGTATCAAGCATAAGTGACAATGAGGCAGATTCTAGTCCCAGTCAACGAAGTTAAAATGATACTTACGATATAAAACAATTAGAAACAATAATAGCGGGAATGACGAGACAAAATGGCAATGTCGAAACACGTAGGTTAGCGGTACGGAGCGATTGTATTCCTAAATTTTGTCCCGAAAATGAAAATATGTCCGCTGTTAAGTGGCTTGGGAACATCGAGGAGCTGAAATAAATTAACGATTTGGACGGTGTAACGACAATCTGCCATATGCAAACTCAATTTTCTGGCATGCCAAAATCTTGGTATCACAGTTTAAGTTCGGTACCTGAGCTTTAGTTACTCAGACCTTTCCCGACCGTGTCGATTACGCTAAGGCTCTTAGAAAAATGTTAAACAGAGAAAGACTTTTACTAAGACGATAACATCATATTACTTCAAGAAGATGGAACTATTAGGTAAGGACGTGTCAAATTTTAGGAAAGAATTCAGTTGCGTGGATAATCGATGGAATTCCAAATATCACGATTCTAAATGCTATTTGTGGTGGTCGATATGAAAAGTCAAAATTACTTTTCGAAGGGTATCTGTCAATGTTACGTGAAGAAAGCACCATTTAAATGTCGACACAAAATAGGATTTGGTAAGGCGATCCCTAAAAGTGGATTTACGTCATTCACTTCCAAATTTACGGAATAATAAACAATACGCTAAATCAGACATTTTTAATGTGAGATGATTTAATTGTAAAATGAAAGGTCATTTCCAGTCAAAGAGCCCAAAATGACGTGTTAGTTACACAAAATGTCATCTGTTAGGATACGAAACCGATCGTTGCGTTGTTAATGTAGGTAAACGATAAGCTGATCGACAGAATAAAGGTGAATTGAAATCAATCTTAATCTTATCGAATAACAGTCGTCTGGTACTTGTTATTTTACTGATTGTGTTATTAACGATGAACCTGTACGAGGCTTTGTATATTCAAGTTGTGTCGCACTCACAATTCGTGGAACCAATCTAGTTAAATTACGTCTACAGAGTGAACCTACCAATGCTTGTGTGATTATGCCGGAGGGTACATTGTAGTACGTTCAAAGGTTACGAGAAACTTGAATGTTGATTTAGCTTCCGCTACTGTTGATGTACTCGTTTTACCTGATAGTGTACAGGATGTGTCTGTATTCGTGAAGTTAGGCAATTTTTAAGTCTTGTTTAGAAAATTTATCAAGGGATTCGCCGCTATTGTCAAGCCTTTAACTAATTTAACTTGCAAGAACACTCCGTTTGTGTGGGAAGGATAACAACAGAATGCTTTTGACGGTATGAAAAACTTTTTTGGTGACGGCTCTTCTCAAATACTGCACTGGTTTAAGATGGCTGTCATTTTGCCGTTGTAAAAGAATTCCTCCTAAACCGACCTTGCTGGCGTCACAATATACTTCCCTTTCCGCTTCTTATAGCTAGAATGGGCCGTTGCACTAGTATCCTTTTCACTTCGTGAATATCGTTGGGTGCTGCGAAATCTGCTACAGCTTTTATTTTATCATAATCAGGTCGGATACCCTCTTCAGCAATTCTATGACCTAAATATTCTATTTTTGACTGAAGGAAATTGCACTTATTAAATCTTAATGTTAAACCAGCAGTTCCCTGATCAATAAGGTCTTGGGCTATTCTGCGGACATTTTCACGATCGAAGAAGGGTATACGGTAAGAACGTTCGAGCTGTTTAATTCCGAATCAGTTCATCTTATAATGTAAAAAATGGTAATTCTGCACTATTTGTCGCTAAGCAACTTTTAGATGGTATTTCAAGCTCATAGGAGTGGTATCATTGCTTGAAATTTTGACGGCTGTATGCGCTTTAAAGAAGTTCAGAGTATATTTAATTGGCATTAAATTTAAAATTATTACCGACTGCAACTCACTTCGCTACACCCTTATGAAACGAGTCTTAATTCCCTATATTGCAAGATGGTGGTTGTCAATCCAGGAATTTGACTGATATTGAATACTGCTCCGGGACTAAGATGAGTCATGTTGACGCATTGGACCAAAGTACGGCTACACCCACTGGTCAATCACTTGACATGATTATAAATATTGAAGAGGGTGACTGGGTACTCTCAACACAACTTCAAGATTATACATGTGAAAATATTATGAATGTTTTGGCACGAGATTTTAAAGATAATGATGAACGATAGATCCATAAAAAATATTGGATCAACGACTCTATCGAAAAACAGAGAAAGGAAAAAGATGGATTATACCGAGAACAGCACGACGAATAAAACTTATGTAGTACCATAATGATGCCGGTTATTTTCCAGTACACAAAACTGTAGAAAAAATAAGTTTAAGATATTGCTTTTCTTCCATGCGCACATGTGTTAAAAATTATATTAATAATAGTATAATAATATCCCTTCTGGTAATGTCCCGGGTGGTCTATATCCCATAGGAAAACAGCCTAAACCGATGGATACATTGTATTTGGACCATGTGGAGTATTAAGAAAAACTTGTCTTATAGTAGTGGTCTTATGATAAAAAGCATGCTTCTCCAATTACGTTTGGAGTTAGATAACATGTGCTTGTCCGAAGAGAGAAGAGCTAAGGGCTTTAATGACGGTCAGAGCAGAAAGCTCGAACCAAGGTATAAAGGACCAAAGGAGGCTCATGGACTTTGTGATGGGCGGCAATACCCTGTTCGCACATCTACTGAAACTGGTGCTTTGTAGCTTTGAATTTGTCTGGAGGCAGTCGACGAAGACGACAGAAGATTGGAGGCTCAGCAGTTACAATGTGATGTTTGACAGAATGATTTACTTCCGTATTCCCTGAAAGGGCAAGTGATGTCGGGGAACTTATTCCCGTTTTTAAAACTATATAGTTAATATGAAATTCAGACACCACTGTAAAAATAAACGAGCACTTAGAATGTTTGGAACACAAATACGAAAACATGCTCTTTGCGAAAGCAAGTCTTCGGTATAAAAAAAATATGCGTATTTTTCGCCAATGGTGAGGTCATCAATGTAAACAGCGATACTATTCTTTTTAATAATAACACATCCTTAACGTAGTTATGCATTTCTTATTGCTAAAAATTAAATACTACAGCTAATTGGTTTACATAGTCAATATGACCAAGTCGATACGCGCACAAAACTCCTCTTCGGACTATTCCTCCTCTTGTCCTCCCAATCACTGATCCTCTTCCATAGAGAAGAATTTTCTTCGTATTCCGTGGCCTCGAAGTCGGTATTCATACCATAGATGTGCGTTCCGTAAAATGTAAAAAGTTGATATGCTCTACATACTAGTTGATTCGCAATTGATCCACAGTATTCTTTTGCGTTTGTTAATTTCCTTAAATCAGAATATATTTTGTAGTGTTCGCCTAAGATCATTTATTAATATTTTCCTACAATTAAGGAACTCTACACTGTACCTTACACGTGCATAATTCCTTGCCTTATAGTCCAATCTATGCCTATGATCTATAAAAATGACAGTCACTGATAGTCACCGCATACCATTTGAAGATATAAGGTCACCAGTTTGTCTTGAGATTGAGAAATATTGATTCATTGTTCAGCTGTTTCTCCAGTAACACAGCGATGTTAAAAATGCACATTCTACTTTTCATTTTATTGTCATTTTTGACATGTAAAGTTATAGATTAATGTATCGCAGTTGTGCGCGTTTAAGGGGTAAAGTTTGTTAATTGCAGGAAATATTAATAAATAATCTTACAGGAACATACCAAACTTTATTACGCACTATCGTGAGAGAGATGGATATTGTCCAAAACTTCATTCCATCTCTTTCTTTTGTTGTACCACAATTCTGACCGCTAAGGCATGTCCATTAGTAAACGTCGATGAAACACGCGACAACTAACTTCATAGAAGTTAGATATTATATGACCATAGATATAAATACGATCCACCACAGAGTCCCCTTGTATATCTCGTCGACGTTTACTAATGGACATGCCTTAACGGTCAGAATTGTGGTACAACAAAAGAAAGAGATGGAACGAAGCTTCGGACAATATCCATCTCTCTCACAATGGTGCGTACACGTGTCACGAAAGAAACCATACGCCATCTCCCTTATTTTTCGAGCAAGAAATTATTAGGACATACGGCTAAGGAACGTCCATTACAGTGTTCGGAACCGTACGATAATTATCGTACACATACGATAATTTCATGTCTACGTGCGATGTACGATATCATATTATTATCGTACGCAGATTGTACGATAATTTTCATGCATTCAAAATTTATTTTATTCTTACCCTCTCAGACAATATCACGAAGACTTTTTTTTATTCGCGAATATTTTTTTTCTTTTGCTCACAGCGCTATAAACATTTTTGTTATACGCAGTGTTAAATTTAGAAGAACGTGGCTACAACAAACGGCAGGTAACATCCCTTCGTGTTGGTCACCAGATGGGTCGATGATCTTCCCATCCACAATTTTGTGATTGTAGTCATGTAGTCACTAACCATAGCCTAAGGTCAAAAACACCCCACTAACATACCTCCATCCCCTATATCTTGTTATATTTAAGTATTTTTCTATCTATTATTGATTTTTAATTTAAAGGGTGGGGGTAGTTCAGGTCTGTCTTTTTACACGATTAATACGAGTAATTTACTAATTATAGTGATTATTTTGAAAAGTACGATAATTTTGCTCCATGTACGATAATTCTACGCTACAGGTACGATAGTTTCCTCACTTCAGGTTGTGAACACTGGTCCATTAATATATGCTATGGTATATATTATCTATGACAATTCACTAAACAGTATTGATCGCAGTGCGTTCTACCATTTTATGAAACTTTCTAGACCAGCTGGAGTTCTCTTTATGTCATTTATATGTCATTGTATATGACATTCAACAATTAATAAGCAATGTTTGTTTTGACTGCTCTTCTGCTCTTTTCAGGTGACAGTAAGTAAGAGAGTTAAGGTGATGTGGTAAGGTGGAGAATGGCCAGAGAGGTAAGTGAATGTGAAGACGCATTATTAAAGTATAAAACTCAATAATAAAATTTAAGAAGTAATACATATGTCGTGGGTGTCAGTGAGTGTTGTAAAATATACGAAATTATCAAAATAGAATTATTACCGTTTAGTAAAAAATATTGACTTGGAAGGCTAACGGTAATAATTTATAAGTGATTGAAACGCAATAAAACGTCGTCAACCATTTATCAGCAATTTAAATTGTAATTTCAACGTTGTCAGTGTGATGGGTAATTTCTTAATAAGGGAATCTTAATGATAAGCTGTGACGACAGTTAATTACGCTTTCTTGTACGTGGATGGTAATGATTTGTTATATTTTTAATTTTTATTGGAATTTGATAAATGCTTTTTTTAGAGCCTAAAATTTATTGTTATGAAATTAATTTTTCAGTTGAAACATATACTTACGAGTTATTGTATTTTTTATCCCATATATTTTGTATTATTTTAGTGATAAGGATAATAGTACTGTATAATAGTGTGCAACAAAAATGTCTCACTACAGTGATGCTGAAGATTCTATGCTAAGTTTTTCTGGAGATGAAACTGATTCCTGTCTTAGAAAACGAAGGATTTGGGACCCTGATGCAGAATCCATTACTTCAGAAATAAAGGAACTTCTTAATGAAGATGTCAACTCATTGGTAAATAATAAAATCTTCTTTTTAGTTGTTATGGAAATGTATGTAACAAATAAGAATTGAAAAACTCAAAATTATGTTGAAAAGTATTTTGACTGTAGAATAGGTGCAGGTATTTATTGATAATGTAGGTTATTTGAAGGACACACAAATTAAAGTATACTTAAGAAAATTAATTGCCACTGAACTATTCCTGTATCTTTTGATACTGAAACTAAGGAGATGTAGGGTATCAAATATAATTTAAGTAATTAAAGGTAATAAAACATATAAAATTTGTAAGGCTCTAGCAAAAACCCCACGGGAAAAGAAGGGACTTGTTGGTAGTCTATTGTAAATTCAATTACAAATATAGTAACCCCTTTTGACGTGTTAAATTAATAGTAAGTCCAGTCTACTTGCAAAGCCGAAACTATGATGCAGTTTATTTAATATATGATAGGTAGTAGACAAGTTTTTTGCTAGCAATTTATCAAAATTACTAGATGCAGATCGCGACTTTGAATTTATTAATTCTTATGATACCATAAGTATTTTCGATAAATATAAATCAAAATTGCATAGAGCCACTTATAACATACAATCAAAAACATATTCAGGTTAAATAAAAAAATTGAAGACATAGTTTTAACTACCACAGTTTTGGAATTAGTTTTGTTTGTTTTAATTATATTTAGTTAATTTCATTGTTGAATTTATGGTTGGTTGCAGTATTCCAAAACAGCTTACATATGAAGGTATTTTGTTTTGTTATTTAATTAAAAATAACTGATGTTTAAATAAAGTTACGTGCAGTTAATTTCATTGGAGAGGAAAAACCAGTCACAAAAATGTTATAAAACAACACATTCATGCCATTGAATTATATGTTAAAACATTCCTACAAAATCGTTTTTAACAATACAAATTAGTATTAGTTAATGACACATTTATGAGATTGAAGCAGAACATCTTCCACAGTCATACCGGTATTCTGATCTAATAGCTTCATTCATAAATTCCCATTTAACCTTTGTATTATAAAATCCCAAACGCCTTTCTAGCATTATTTAGTGATTTGATTTTTTCATGTAAATTGTTGGTGATAATGCTTTTCTAAAATATGAATAACGCATAATTATTAATTTTTTGTTGTTAATTAATACCAGCATTATGGGTTAAAATATGTTTAATTCCTTTTGTTTATATTTGCAGGTTGAAGAAGATTGTATTGGCTGCCCTTTGCCCTCAACACCTGAAGAAGAGAATATTCTAGATACTGAAATAACAGATGTCCTTAAAGCTGCTGTTTTAGGTACAGGTAGTGTAGCATTTTGCTTGTTCATGTGTTGAGTTCTGGATTTTATTTTAATATTTGGCTTTTATCGTTAATAGAAAAAACTCCATTATGAGTACAAATGTACATATTATTTAATGGCTTATTTGTTTTTGATACAACTAAATTTGAAAGTTATTTACGCTTGCATAGCACCCTCATTTAACAATTAAAAAATAATTTGTTAACAAATAAAGTTCTGCAGTTCTCCGTTGTCACCATATCATATATTATCAAAACGATAATTACGAATACATGTACAGGGTATCCCATATTCGGCACTTTTGCGGGCTATCTCTCTTATTAAAGATGGAAGGATGCGCTTTTCGCAGTAGTGTACTACTATTTTGTGAAACGAAAGTTGGCGCCAGTAGAATTTTATATCCTTTTTGGTTTCTGAGATACAGGGTGGAATTGAAATGTATCATCTTTCAGCTACGCCCCCGTATCTCGCCTGTCGAAGAAGATAAAATGTATTCTTACTGTTTTGTTTTGTGTAAAACTCAACAGTTGAATTAGTTAAAATGGTGTAATAAATAATTAAATCTTTTGTATTAAGCTGAAAAGTTATTAATCTTTAGTATAATGTAACGCAATATTTACATGGATTTTGCTTTTAATAAATTTCAGCCATAGCCTACTAATTGGACATATAAGGAAATTTTAAAAAATCTTAAATTCCGAGCTTGCTTTTGAAAATGATCGTATATAATTAAATTTCAATAGAATATATTTTAACTTCTATTAGTTTTAAAGTGAATGTGAAGACGCATTATTAAAGTATAAAACTCAATAATAAAATTTAAGAAGTAATACATATGTCGTGGGTGTCAGTGAGTGTTGTAAAATATACGAAATTATCAAAATAGAATTATTACCGTTTAGTAAAAAATATTGACTTGGAAGGCTAACGGTAATAATTTATAAGTGATTGAAACGCAATAAAACGTCGTCAACCATTTATCAGCAATTTAAATTGTANCAGAGGCGGATTAAATGTCGAGAGCGCTCTAGGCTAGCACCTCATAGGCACCCCTCTGGCGGTCATATATTTTGCAAAATACTTTTTTTTTTATTAGGTACTTCCTTATTTTTTTTTTAGATTTAAAAACTTCCGCGCGCGCCTCTTTTTATCCTTGCGCCCCTAGGCATATGTCTACTTTGCCTTATGGATAATCCGCCACTGGGCTCCAGTCAACTTAAAAAAAGGACTTCATTAACGATCCAAACACATTCTACTATTTCAGTAAGAAAATATAAAGTGCGGGAAGCCATGTTTTATAATTTTTAATTGCCAAAAATTAAATGCTAGAAAACGATGGAAGATGTGTGTAATATGATGCTTAAAAATTTCCCAAATATTTTATATTGATGGTTATTTTATGATAAATTATACTTATCATGATGGCCATTTACTTGCTAACATGTTTAGACACTACACGTTAAAAATTAGTGCCCTTTTTACACACCCTCCCCACCCATCCATCCACTTTTTCACCTCACCTATACCATCCGAATCTTTTTTTTTGACCATTTAATGGTAGAAAATGAAAATTAACAAAGAAATAATTGTTTATTGGTTCACAACTTAAAAACTGAAAAAAAATTTTTGGCAATTTTTCTGGCGTACCCCTATCTTCATTATCTTTTTTTAGCACCTGAATATATGCCAATCGTTATAATTTTTTTGTTTATTAAAATAGGGCTGGAGCCCCACTAATGCACGATTACCTAAAACAATTTTTTCTTATAAAATTTATTTTTAAATTTATTCATTATGTAAACAAAAAAAGTTTGCTTTTGAAATTAATTATTTGCAAGATTAAATTAGGAAAATTAAAAAATTCCTTAAAAAATAAGAAATGTTTGTGACACGTTTACGTAAACGGTTTTATTTTTTTTAATACTTGGTGGTCTTTTTAGCATGGACTTTATTAAATAAACAAATAAATTTAAAAAATTAACAAGTTGCAATTACAATTATTTGCCTATTTGAGAGCGCTGAATTAATTACAAGATATGACGAACGAATGTTTAAAAACATGATATTTGTACTTTCATAATTGAAATTAATACGTCTGCTATCATTGAAATAAGTGATGTAAATGGCCATTTCAGTTGTAAAATTATGGATTCTAACAATACATGTTTGGTTTGGTTGTAAGTTAAATTTCTTTTAAGAAAACGGCAATTTTTTCGATGCTTTGATGCATACATATTTACACGACCTTTTTGAAACCAAACGCAGAATGTTGTACGCGAAGAGAGCGACTATTTGTGAACATCTTACGTTGCGTACCCCTTAGAAACTTTCGTTGTACAAGTGAATCCTCTTAAGCATTTAGCGATCAGGCAGAAAGCAGAATGCGTGAAGGCGTCCATTCGTAAGGAATCCTGACTGGGTTTCTAAGAAATATGACGAACACATTTAGTGTTTAATTTTGTTGCAAAAAGATCATTACTTGGGGTCCCGACCGTGGAACATATTTTTTGAAAAGCGTCGTGTTCCAACGTGTATTTTGTTTCCTTATCAGTGAAAACATTATTTTTAGTGTTTATATAGAAAACAGAAATAAAGATTTTTTGCGCCTCAGACCATTCCCAATTGCAATTTACAAAAGGCTCTACAATACTTACATTCTCAAAAACAAACTTTGGAAAACAATATGCAAATTAAACTTTAACTACATTATTCGTACCTAATAACGAAGTATATTCGATGCGAAACATTAATAACGCTTCATATTCTCCGTTGTTCGCATTTGATTATATAGTAAGTGGGAGACTGACGCTACGAACTATTTGTGGTTAGCGCTGCTATTGGCACTTGTTTGTACACGTTCACGAAGCGAAAAGCTAAAATTGTAAAAAGACGAATTAACAGGAGTTTTTTTTTGTAATAAAATATTGTCTTCAACGCCACTTATATTTAGGTGTAGTAATAATTTCTCATTCTGCCACATGCACACGTTTTATTTATAAAATTTTTGTTTTTTGTAGCTTGAGTGGTAAATAATGCATTATGTTTTATTCATTTAGCCATTTATATGTTCGTTTTGGTGTTTTTCTATTAATGTGTACATAAATTAATAAAAGCAAAGTTATGAACCAAGTGGCTGATTACGCTAAGAAAAACATTGAAATATGAATGCTTACGAGAAATTGCAGCGATATTATTTTTTCATGTTAGTGTAATTTAGTTGCTTTGCATCATCTTCTTATTTAGGAGGGGACTTTGATATAACAGCACTGGCTCATAATGCAGCAGGTCAAGCCGAACAAGTGGTTCGAAAATTAATCCAAGTGAGTTGGACGGTGTGTCACTTTAGCAAGCTTCCTGACTGGCTTCAAGACAATGATTTTCTTACACACGGCCACCGACCTCCTTTACCTAGTTTTCGCGCATGCTTTAGGAGCATGTTTCGTATACATACTGAAACTGCTAATATATGGACCCATTTACTTGGATGTGTGGCTTTTATAGGTAATTACATTTTCCAGAATTACTAAAACGATAAAAAAATTGTGAATTGGTTTATAAATATAGTATATTGTTGCTATATTACTAATCGAAAATTTTTGCATGTTTTCAGGTATTGCAATTTATTTTCTTATGCGACCAGTTGTGGAAATTGAACTTCAAGAGAAAATAGTCTTTGGTGCTTTCTTTGCTGGCGCAATAATATGTCTTGGATGTTCTTTCATTTTCCATACTGTAAATTGTCATTCACAGTTTATTGGAAAGCTATTTTCTAAACTCGATTATTGCGGCATTGCCTTGCTTATAATGGGTAAGTATTTTCTTAATAACATTCGTATTTTTAAAGATAACAATGTTATATTTTTGTTAATTCATATGGGGTGAACCATGATTAATGAATTATTAAATTTTGAACCGATACAAAGCCGAACGTTTTGGCTACGTCATCGGTTTTTTTTCATTTAATAACTTTTCGGTTGCATGTATAGGAAGTAAATCCAAACTTCAGTATTTTAAATGGAATGTTACAGTTATTATATATATTTTGCTGTTAGCGTGTTATTTAAAGATGAGTTTTTAATTTAATTATATTAATTATTCTTTGACTTTAAATGAAACCATTTTTGAGATAATTCAAAACTACAAAAAAATTGAACAAACAAAACAGAACTTCACGAAACATTCTTCGATTTTGATAAAAATTAATTGCAAATGAATTTCTTAGTTACACCCAGAACGTTTATTAGATATTATAAATTCCAACATTAAGTGCATCATGATCAGCATTCAATGCTCAATGAATGATCGACGATTCATTGAAATTAACAAATATTTTCAGAATTTCTTGTTATTTTTATTAATTCAAAGTAAAATGCTACTATAAATCTTTTAAAATGTATTGGGTTGTCAGAAAACAGATTACAAATTTGAATACATTTAAGTAACAATTTTTTTCAGTCCTGTGGGTTCATTATTTCTCTATGCAGTTGATATAGTTTTTATTTATGATATATTTAAAAGTGTTTAAATAAACAATTATAACAATATGTATTTTTAAGGACGGTTGAGTACTACTGTAGTTTTAGGCGATAAATATAAAAAAAAATTAAGTCGAACATAAAATATCATTTGCATTGGGGATGAATTTTTATTTTTAATTTAATAGCGAAATATACAATGTAATATAATATAATAATATATACAATCTTAATATTTAATGCCCTGATTAACGTAAGAATTATCACTCAATCGATTTTCGTTGCAAACACAGGACGACATTGTCGATAAACAATAGACATGATTGTTCTGGAAAAGTGAAAGTCGTTCCATGTTTTATATTACTTCTCTGTGATGGTTTAAGTGTCTTGTCAGTTAAAATGACTTTTTAGATGTACATTATTCTTTTACAAATTATCCTAAAATATATATACGTGAAACCTCAAACCAGCGGTCCGGTCTATGAGGCATCTTCAGATCTACAATATAAAACATGGATGGTCTAAAACGTCTTTAAAGCATGCGATACGACGATTTATGACCTTTTCAGAAG